TTACCAAAGCTCGAACTAATATTGCCTTTCTTAAGTCCTGTAGGAATCTGAAAAGAAGTAACGGAAGTCTGATTCAAGATCTGTCAATATGCAACTACCTATATCAAAACCAACCAAAGATTGAAGTGATGTGTAGTCGTCCATATTATCTTACTCAAAGACAACTAATCACACTTACAGTAAGCATACTGATCTCTTCGCTTCCCCAAGAAATATACTCCATCTAATTTACAAAGATATTCTGACTCGCCTCAGTTAACAACTTCAGTGAAGTTAGATGAACGATCTATTTATCATGGAATGAGGCTATACATACCAAGATGAATATCTACGTCCGTTGGTAGAACTGTGATTGTGAATAACTGTAATGACACTGAACGTGAATTTGTTGTCCTGTTGTGGAATTGTGTTCATGTGCTTACATATATCAATTGTCGTTCAGAATTCATTCCACAATTTGTTCTGATTACCTCGAAACAAACAAGATGGATTGAGTTCAACGCTCATAAAATTCATCATCTCACCAGCGATTTCTAGTCATCCAGCATTTATTGTATTCCAAATCGATCAAGTTCTATATGGTGACATTCAAACAAATACAATCTGAGAAGCGATCAAGATTTTAAGAACATCTCTCTCAAAATATTCAATTATGAACTTTACCAACAACTGGTATGTAGAAAGCTGAAAATGACCGTTCACGTACAGAACTCTGACACACACTCTTTGTCCTTAATTGGCTTGAAGGTATTAGAATTTGTTGTTCATTATTTTAAAAAGTGCTAGAATAAACTGTGTCATCAACGGATTATTACTAGTTTCATAAAGTCTGTATGCACAATACAAAATGTTGGTGTCCTTCTATCCCTTTCAATATATTTCGATGTATTTGACAGTACTGATATGCATGAAATAATACAATAATCCATTCATTTGCGCGACTTACGTTCTCATAATAGAAATATATCTTCCCATTCGAGTGTATCAGGTACATTGCCTTGATTGTATCATCTGCAAAAAAGAAAACTACCAATATTTAACATTTCAAGGATTAGTGTCGAGCATATCATTGCTAGATGTGACATTGTATGTGCCTACACACAGGGGGATCAGATTTTAGCCGATATTTACTGTGTTATCTCAAATGTTTTCTGTAGTCGAATTCGTTATGAAAATAATCTCGTGAATGTTGTGTAAATGTAATAGGAATGTATCCTTCATAATGAATGTCAGATGCTTAGTTTGTTTAGTTTTCATATTCAAACAATAATTCATCTAGTTTCTAATTAGATCCGATAGTTGGAGTGATATTCGAATTGGTGGAATATTTTCTACAATTCAGCTGATACAATCGACTCTAGGAGCAAATGAAATGAGTTGCTGTCTGTTAGTTTATAATCCGAGTTTTAGAATTTATTTAGTTATGTAACACATGGGTATATCAATCGATCAAATGACTTTGACCACATTATTTGTTAAAGATGAGAAGTAAATACGCTTAGTACATATTGTTTGAACGACGTCTTAATTTGAAAGAATAGAAGCTAAGAATGACCGTGTAATCAGTGAATATTTAGATGAATGAGATGTATACAGAAATGATTTTCCGATGAACACATATGTACAATCTTTTTTATAAACAGACTTCTCATCATGTTCCTTTAAAACCTGTCAATGAAGATGAATCTCTGTATTCGTTTATCTACAAATGAAATATGATTATGACCTATTGTATCCAAACGTAAGTCAATTATTCTTTAAGTTTCAATCAATTATGAATCAACAATCAGTGGATTCTATGTGTATTTAGACACTGTCAGTTTTCCAAGAAGAATTCAATCACTGTAACTGAATAGAAAATATTTGAGTAATAACAATCAATGATGATGTAAAGTGTTAATAGTTCACATGTGATCAAACAATCATGGATATGGGTACATACTTTTATTATCAATGTTTGTAGGACAAGACCTTCTGACAGCTAAATATTCCTCTGAAATAATGAAAGCAAAATAAATTTGTGTTCATGTATCTGTATAATGAATATTTACCTCTTTCAATAAACAAAATGTGTTTGGACACAAGTTATGATGTTCCTTTCAAGATTTAAGTGAACCAATTGAAGTAAATGAGAGTCTCAATGATCCGCATTATTATTTCATCGATATGATGAACGTTTCAATCCAATCAACTGAGAGAAATATCATACTTCTGAAAATGTTACTCCAATGACATTAATTTCAGTAATTGAATAAAATGGATGCCCTTCATTTTGATATTCTAGGTGTTCTAATTCGAATCAATCATGTTGTGCCAGCCTATAATTCGTGATTGTTAGTTTATTCGATGTTTGAGGTTATGCATGAGGTCAAACTTCATGATCAAACGATTATGATAATCAAGAATGTGTTTAATATCCAGTAGTTCAAGGACAGTGAATAAGAGGGACTGAACTCTTAAGAACCAAGTAAGTGACAGGAAGAGTTGAAGGATATCAAATATAAATTGATAGTTAATGTGCTTCAATAATTCAAACTGATTTTTCACACAACATCGCTTATCGTTGCACCTTTGATCAAATTGATTCGTTCAATCTATCAAGAAGTGTCGTATTGATGAAATATCAGTTTTATGATAGTTCGAACAGATTGAACAGTAGATTATTTCCACATGAGCATTTACATCGTTTGATTCATTATTTCTACTCAATCAATTTGTGTCTGTTTTGAATTGGATCACGGTTTTATTAAACATTTTCACTTCACAGTAATGAATACGTGTTGTGAACACATTTTAGGGCATGAAATCACACAAATAAAATAATCACTGTGTACTGATCAGCTCTGACGAATTGATCAAGTTAAATGCCGAATCATTTATGCAAAATAAAAATGAGGAATGAAAAACATAAAACAAAATCTCATTGAATAATAGAAGAACTCACTTCCATCCAAAATCTTAGTTTCACACTGATCATTGCCTGAGAAATGATTCTTAAATTCTCCTCCACCCACTTCTCCTTCTATTAAAATTTTACCTGTGTTTATCAAATGAAAACATGCAATTAGATTGATAATCTACAGTGAATGAATGAAAGACTTTGAAATTAACTGGAGACTAGAATGAATTGCATGAACTGTAATTAGTTTGCTGCAACACATCAAACGATTTACAACTTGAACAAGGAAAGACATCAGTAGATGTTATGAATGTTAACAAGTGCCTAAAACTGATCTATTGAAGTAATGAAAGCGACATTGATTCATGGAATTGAAATGTGAATAAACAAAACTCAGTGAAAATTTTAATTCGAGGAAAATAATTCTCTTACCATCAGCATATATATAGAAACTGCTGATATTGGAACCATATAATGTAAAGGGGAATTTCAAAAATATACGCTAGAAATATGCAAACATATGGATTAGCATCTCCGTTGCAAAGTGTAGTTCACTCACCTTCCCAATAACCGGTTTCTCAAACGTTCCACTAACCTTTGGAGAGGGCTGGTTAAAGCGAATTAACTGGGAATATTTATAAAAATGAGACTGAATATTTGTATTGGAATCTGTTTGATGACTTACATATTTATATGTCTCAGTTTCGAAAATTTTTTTTCCACTTCTAAGTAAATCTGATTTTCCGCAAAATTCATTACAGTCAAGAAATTCCGATGTAAATACAACGATCGAATAGATCGCTACCAACTGACCAAATGAAAATGTATATCTGAAATGGTTCAGATGAATAAAACAATGTTATCTCATTAGATCAAATTGAAATTGATATAATACACTAAATTGTCTTAATTAAACAGTCAATACTCACATCATTTTCTTGTTTTAGACGTTGGTAGAACGTGTTGAATTTATATAGAGTTTTGTCAAGTGTTTGCATGTTTCTTTCAGATTGGATGATTCAAATTGACCATTAAGATGATCAAATTTCATAAAATCATTTCATAATCATTAACCAATCGTCATAGGAGATGAACTCATTGTTAAGCAATATTCTTACACTTACTGAGGTAATATAGCCTGATATTGATCCACAGTTGGTTGAAATTCCTGACTCCCCTATTGATGAAAACTATTTTGGATAGGTTTAACAGTATTTTAAACTCAGTAATTAGTGCTCATATTTTCATGAACAAACATTGTGTGTTACTTGTAATCAACTGTGAGTAGGTTGTCAACGGTTCATAGTTTTGATTTGATTGGTTAAAATCAAAGTAGCACACACTGTTTTCATTAGATGACTTAATTCACATTTTTATATTTGAATTATATTTCAATGAAATGAATTCTTTCACTGGCTGAAATCATGTGTCAATTAAAGTTAAACCATCATAGAAAACCTGGACGTTTTGTCCTAGTGTGGGACTCCTCAACAATGTGCATCTACGATCTCGCCCCCCTGCGTCATTCAAACCTAGGACCCATCTATCTCATGCGCGAACGCTTAACCATTAGACCACTGAGTCCACCGGCATCCAACGGTGTTATTGTCTAACTTCAAAAAATCCACGAAGTTGTACCACCGTCACCGTCGTCTTCAGTGAGTTGATATCTGATAACAGACCTGGTTGAACTCCACTGGTAACCGTTTCTCATTAGAAACGCAGGAGTGTTTCTTGAAGTCAGTCACTAGTGAGCAAATAATTATTATCAGATGGGGTTTTGTGAGCGTGAGACCGATAGGTCGTAGGTTCGAATCACGCGGGCGGCGAGATCGTAGATGCGCACTGTTGAGGAGTCCCATACTAGGACGAAAAGGCTGTCCAGTGCTTCAAGGTTTTCCATGGTGGTCTAGCTTCAATTCACTCATGATTTCAATCAGTGGAATGAATAACAGTCCATATTTTCCTAAATCAATGATCACTTCATTGGGAAAAGCCAAGACAATTAATGTTTTGATTACATATGTAAAATAGTAATTCTTGATATTATGACAGTGAATTGTACATTTGCACAATTAAGATGTAGACTGTTATGTGATTATCATGAATCGTTATTATTGTTGTTGTTGTTGTTGTTGTTGTTAGTAGTAATAGTAGTAGTAGTAGTAGTAGTAGTAGTAGTAGTAGTAGTAGTAGTAGTAGTAGTAGTAGTAGTAGTAGTAGTAGTAGTAGTAGTAGTAGTCGTAGTAGTAGTAGTAGTAGTAGTAGTAGTAGTAGTAGTAGCAGTAGTAGTAGTAGTAGTAGTAGTAGCAGTAGTAGCAGTAGTAGTAGTAGTAGTAGTAGTAGTAGTAGTAGTAGTAGTAGTAGTAGCAGTAGTAGCAGTAGTAGTAGTAGTAGTAGTAGTAGTAGTAGTAGTAGTAGTAGTAGTAGTAGTAGTAGTAGTAGTAGTAGTAGTAGTAGTAGTAGTAGTAGTAGTAGTAGTAGTAGTAGTAGTAGTAGTAGTAGTAGTAGTAGTAGTTTTAGGTAATTTTGCAGCATATTCACTTAGGCTGGATAAGAATTCATTTGACTTTTAGTTCATTCAATCTTATACATGAAAATACTGTTTATTAGAATAGTCAGCTTCACTTATTTAATCATTATCAATTTCTCATAAGACGACTATTCTGTAATAATCTGAACTGAAACTCCATATTCTTCATATGTACAGGTTTACTAAACATTTCAAGGATGAAGAGAACATTTCACTCAGTACTAACTAAATTGTCCTGCGTTGGAACCGAGTTCATGTTCTGTAATAAAGAGTATAACGATTATTATTACATAGAATTCCGAATTGATAATGATCACACATTTACTAAGATAATAAATAATGCGCATATCAATGAATGCAAACACTCCGGTAGTGTACACGCAAATATATTCAAGGATCAGTAATGATAGATCTGAACTGATTGTTTACTTTTCACTTAGGACCAAAATATAAAAGCAGATTTCTCGAATCTAATCTATTTCTGCACAACATGCAATACATGGGTTTCAGTTATACTGTGAATGGTGATATGTTTCATCTTCTTATTTCAGCAACATCTGACACATATAAACCTCGTGACTTTCAAAGAATTTCTACTTTCACCATGAGAAGTCATAATTCTTTGAAATAAAGATTTTGCATAATCATATAGTTTAAATGATATTTTTAGATCAGAAGTTTCTAAATATAGTTATATATGAACAATGATGAACATTCTCATCTGTTACCATGGAAATACTTGAAGATGGTGTGATTTGTGAAATAGGAAGGTCACTTGATGAAGGTCGGAATGACTTGTAGTAATGTTCCAGGTTTGTGTCAATATAGTAATACTAATAATAATGGTGATCATAATAATAACAACGTTGTGTGAATATAATATGTAATAAAAAGAGTATAGTCAAGGTAATTACGATGAAAAAGAATCAATATGGATTAGGAAGGAGATAATCACAAAACGAATTGGGATAATAGGTTTATAACATGCATTTGAGGTGTCTGGTGATTCAGTCGTGGACCACGGTAGACATGGATGCTGATCATATCCCTCTTCTGGATATATTAGTTCGGTTTCCAGCAGTTGATCAACATGACTTCAGTTATGTTGAGTACCCGTAGACTATCTACTGTAATGTCCCCATATAAATCGTGCTTTTGATTCAGGCTTTCGTTACTGACCATGTCAGGTCTGGATTTTCTCAAATTAACTTTAAAATTGCTTGATTGGGAATGTTATATTATAAGTATATGTATAGATATTTGGTGATGGAATGGTTCGACCGGAAAATATATGAAAGTATTGTTGTTTGAAGTAGCAATGTGGAAAACTGCAGTAAGAACGAAATGATTATACTGAGCAACACAGATGAATAATGAATAATGTTGATGATGTCTGGTCACTGTGGTGGAGTTGAAGTGCCTGTTCTCCAGTAAAGAAGCCAAGCACTCGGCACATAGAACATGGAAGAGACCATCTTTTTAGAGCAACTAATCAATAAGTCAGTTCAAATGATGCAACATCATCAACATCAACCTTCTGAGCAACTGATCTTCTCTCTATAATCTCAATATTTGATCACAGTTTGTAATGTTGAATATCATCTTATCAAGTGACTTGCAATGTGATCGTCAGAAATCAATTAACTGGAAGGACAGCTTTATAATAATCAACATAATGAATGTTTAATTTATATTTCAAATTGATGATGACGATGATGATGATGAGGATGATCTCGGACATCATGTTCATCTTCACTTTATAAATAAATATTTGCTACTTCGTGGTAGATCGAATCGTCATTTTTGATAGCACCCTGATCATACATGCCGCCATAGACCTAAGAAATCTTCCAGATCAATTCGTGAATATCTACAATACTGAGGTCTGAAGGCAGTTAGGACCAGATTAATTTCAATTCAGAACTGTTAAGGAAAGGAAACTTACAGAATCTTGTGATTTTGGTGGAATAGTATGAATCTGAATCACATTAGCTGCCTAACATCAATGTTTTTGGAATGATACATTAATCGAACTACTATTCAACATTTGCTTGATTAAATCAATCTACTAAATGAGTGAATAGCAAAATATCACAGTATTCAATTCGTGTAGATTTTGTTTAGTCAAAACAAAGACCGAAATGTGTACTTCTGTTTGATGAAACACAAAGATAACTATGGAGGAGATTGATTATTGAGGACACGAATTGTGATTGAATTGTGATTCATTGGTTTATTTTCACAGATTACATCTGAAGACTGAAAGGATGAGTGAACAATAACATGTAAAGAAGAGCTGTGGTTGAGTCTCGAATTGTAGCGAAATATAGATTGTTGTATATTTATCAGAATTTCCCTAGCCAGCATAAGTCAGTAATGGGAAAAACGAGTAACGTGGAATGGAAACTCATACAGCTGTGGTGTATACTAATTGGGTCTGTCGATATACGTAGTTCGTAACACCGGTCAGAAGTGGAAAACCTGACAGCAGAATGCTAAGAAGGTCGAGTTGAAGAGAATAAAAGGGAAAAAATGGAGTGTGGACTTAAGATTTATGCAGAATGTGATGGACAAATGATGGTAATTCGCAAGTGAAGGATTCAATGCAATGGTTGAGATATTTTATCAAGGCCGCCAAATACCCTGCTATGGCCGAGTGTGTATGTATGAATGTATTGAAATAGTTAACTATCTTAACATTCCTAAGTTACTGTCTCAAACAATATTCATTGAACCGTAGATAAAGCGGCATTCTGAAGTTAATTGTCACGAAAACCTGTCAATTCCCTCGTTACACCAAACCTACTTCATACGAACACCACAAATCTGTATATCGTATGCATTGAGGAATAAGATTTGCAAAAACACTGAGAATTCTGTCTGATCCATCACATTCAATATAACATCACATCAAGTACTATCATTTCTGTAATATCCATTAAAATATTCAAAGTAATATTGATTACTTCTTCAATCTCAGTGTAAACAACGTCTTTGTCTAATGAACAAAAACATATTTGTGTTGACCTCTTTTTTGTTTATAGAATCAGCTATGATTATACTTTGTTTATCATTGATCACCTCATTCCATCTCAAATAATCAAATAATAATATGGTATTCTCTATTCTGTATCGTGGGTGTAATATCAGTCTTGGTTAGAATAAACAAAACATCGTTTTCTCATAATAATTTGTTGATTTGGCCGATAATCACCTGCCCTCAAACATCAAAGATGAGTGACATTCTCATTTTACAAATTATTACTACTTTTCTAAAAAGAAGATGAAGTGAAAGCAAATGTTCTGGTTGTCATTTCATAGATGGTGTTGCTCCAGCGATGAATAAACTCTGTGACCATTCACCAATTAATTTCAAATGATTGTAGTGGTCATTTTCTCATAAGATCATTCAGTTTCACGTCCATGATTTATAAATCTGTGAAACGTCCATTAATAAATTCGATTCTTCGAAACTCGACTAGTTATCACGTGCCGTGTATATTGGTGAAGGAGACTGTGGAGAATAATCTTGATTAAATAATCCACGGCACATTCTGTGTATTTTATTATACCAATCACTGTGACGGATAAACTCATTGTTAGCCGACATTCTGGATGAACACATTTCACTATTAGCCAGATGTATGCTTTCATCGAACATCAATTAGGGTTGGATTTCACAGTTTAATGGAAGCAATCGAATTGTATATGTGGCTGGATTCGTTTAGACATATCAGTTGATATTGAAATGTTTCTTCATTTTTCTACAGAATTCAAATGGATTTCCCCATAAAGAAGCATTCTCATTACTGATGTTGGTGATGTTAGATCATCAGAACTCACTTGGAAGAGGACCTCATTTTATGATTTTATTTAGAAAATTTGCATTTCTTTGTTTTCACTCTAAAAGCCCTCTTGTCACCTTCATGTCGTATTTCCCACTTGGGAAATATGCTATTGTTACGTTGCGTCTTTTAGTATGCTATTCGGTAACTCTCCCCGAGGACGATTTTGTGCTGTATATATACGTTTTGATTTGTGTTTATTGTTATCGGTCGTTTCTGGCTGTTTGTAGAATATATGTAGAATTATGGTCTACTATGATATTAGTACTGCTCTAATAATAGACCTAATCCTAAATTTGTAGATTTGTCATGATATAACTGCCTAATCTATAAGATCTTACGTGGAAGTCACACCATCGACTACACCAACTCACTGTATCGTATCAATTACCAATACATGATGTAGAACAAGGTTGGGCTAGAGAAAGAACAATAATATTTAATATGAATAGAAGATATAAGGTAACATTCAGCAGAGACCACGCCTACATGGCCGAGCCATGCCGTTCGATCAACTCTAGTCTGTTCAATTCAATTCCCTGTTCGCGCCTTCTCCATTCTTAGGTATTTCTCCGCGTTAAATATTGAATATCTATTTTCCGAGTAATCTCGTATTCAGCTTTGAGGATTGTGTGGTTATGGTCCAATGCCACTACATAGTCTCTTGTTCTCATCTTTGTGAATTGTGTGGCTATTGACCAATACCACCACTATCGAACAGTCTTCAAGTACACTGGTATCCTTAATTTATACAAACGCCATAGACCTGTAAATCGTATGCATTGAGGAATAAGATTTGCAAACAAATTGAGAATTCTGTCTGATCCATCACATTGAATATAACATCACATCAAGTTCTATCATTTCTCTTACATGCAATTAAATATTCAAAGTAATATTGATTACTTCTTCAATCTCAGTGTGAACAACGTGTTTGTCTAATGAACAAAAACATATTTGTGTTGACCTCTTTTCTGTTTATAGAATCAGCTATGATTATACTTTGTTTATCATTGATCACCTCATTCCATCTCAAATAATCAAATAATAATATGGTATTCTCTATTCTGTATCGTGGGTGTAATATCAGTCTTGGTTAGAATAAACAAAACATCGTTTTCTCATAATAAGATGTTTATTTGGCTGACAGTCACCTGCCCTCAAACATCAA